ACACACACACACACACACACACACACGTTCAGGAGTGTTTCTACAAAAATGTAAAGATTAAACTCACCAATCTGTGAGAAAAAGTATATGATGGTCAACGCATAAAAGGGTTTGAGGGAAAAGACTTCAGGCCATTTTCCGAGCGTGTGTGACGGTTTCCGTAGAACAATACCAGACATCAAAGCAAATACTGCGGTCACCTGACAGACAAACAGATGGATAAATATTAGATAATGCTCTAGACAGCCGTTCGGAAAGTAAAGTGGAAAAGAAACCCACATAACCCAGAGGCTACGCTACCAAATAGTTACAAATTTCGATCTGGTCAGTACATAATTTTGTTGTGGTGTATGGCTATAATGTGATTAGTAATAAACAGATATATCGGTTGTTCAATTTGTTCAGAGAGATGGGTTAAGACTTGAGGGACAAACTACAATATTCAGGAGTTCCACTAAGCTTCAACGACAAAAGAGACATGATGCGCTTACACTGGACGATAGTCGTATCAAAGAGCGTGATATTGTCTTGTCACTAGAATTCCCACCAAACAAAGTTCAAAATAATTATGATTACCCTGTCGGGATATCACAAAGTCGTTACCTTAGAATTACAAAGTTCTATCGACATTTTTGGCCTTTTTCAGTTTCTAAGACCTATAGATAAGAAACCAAATTTTAATGTTTTATCTGCTCTACCAAAATCGTAAGATTATTTTGAATCGTTGTCAAGATATTGAAAAAATTGCATTCGAAAAAGCTTGACCTGTTGTAAAACTCAAAATCTTTGACGTCAAATTTCTCAAAACTTTGTACTGAGCAAACTGAGCTTTGTAATTCTGAGGCAGCGAAGTCTCGGCTCATTGGTTCCCCAGGAAACTGACAAGATAGCTCAACGTGATGCTGGTGGTCATCCCGGACTCTTCAAGAACCAAGCGTGGCTAGTGGAACCGACGTGGTAGTGCCCGATGATGAATTACGTAGCGGTAACACAACCTTTCTCAAATAACTTATCTCTAATGGTTAGACGTGGGTTCATCAGGTATAAAAATAAATTAAATTTGTATTGATACCCGAGGGGAAATTTGGGTCAAAGTTTCAAACATACATACATACATAAATACATAAATACATAATTAGAAATGCATTCATACGTAAATTCATACATACATGATACATATATACATCATACATACATACACACATACACACACATACACACATACATACACACACACACACACACACACACACACACACACACACACACACATGCATACATGATCACAACAACAACGACAACAACAATAGCAGCGAGGAAACAATCAGCGCTCCGGCGACCAGCTATTAGCAGCCCGCGCAGCCTCCACCCCCACCCCCACAGCCTCCCCCCCTCCCCTACCCCCGGCACCCTCCACCCCCTGCGCCATCGCTACCCCCAAACCCTCACCTCGACCACTCGCAGGTTGTTCTGCCATCTAGTGGGGCCGCTGTTACAGCACGTAGCGTCGTCCACCATATCCGTGAAGTAAAAGCACAGTAGGGCGATCACGTTACCCGCCGTGTTGCCCAGCTGTGTAAGGATCGTTGCTAAGACACGCTTGTCGTTAAGGTAGTCCAACATGGCGACTTCGGAACCGACTTGGAGCAGGCCAGCGGCGCAAGCTGTTGTTTGTGTGTCCGTGAGGGGGCCGGGGTTGGTTGGGTGGTTGGGGTGGTGGTGGGGTGGGGTTGGAGGAGGAGAGAGGGAAAGGTTTTAATAATTGTCTTAGGTGGGAAATAGTTAATAATTGAGTAAATGGGAAAGGGTTAATAATTGTGTGAGGATGAAAGAGTTAATAATCGAGTACGGTAAACGGGAAAGGGTTAATAATTGTGTGTGGAAGGAAAGAGTCAATAATTGAGTACGGTAAAAGGGAAAGGGTTAACAATTGAGTAACTGGGAAAGAGTTAATGATTGAGTAAAGTTGTTTTTTTTAAGGTTTAATTACTGTGCGAGGTGGGGGGGGGGGATTATTCTGTGAGTAGGGAAGTGACAAGGAAAAAGAGTTAAGAATAATTTGGTTTGTAGCTAAAGAGTTATCAGTGTTTGGGGAGGAAACGGTTTGTTTTTACGTCAAATCAGGTAGGGTAATAATCCATTTATCGGGGAAAGGTAAAAGGTTAATAATAGTTTGAAGATTGAAAGGGTGAACAATCGATTGAGAGGAAAAGGATACATAATCTTATGAGATCATGAAAGGATTAGTAATTTTGTCATGAGGGTAAGATCCATAGTCGTGTGTGGAGGGATAGAAGGAACAATAATAATTATATCAAATGACAATGAAAAAAGATTAACAATTGTGTAGGGGAGGGAGAGGTTTAGAATGATGTGAGGTTGGGAATTATTGAGTGCACGGGTAAAAGGTTGATTAACGTGTGAGATGGGCAAGGGTTGGGTGTAAGAGGGGAAATGGCATTTGAGATGTTTTGGTAAGAGTTTTACGGCCTTGCAACCCAAGTCCTAGGAGCATGAATATAAGAAAAAGTTTGTTTGTTTTTTTTCTTTTTACTGTGAGGAGCGAAACGAATTAGACAAAAAAAAACTTGTTTACTTTCGTCTGACCGCGTTTAGAACAAGATTAAAACGAATCGCAGTTTTATCTTTTCGGGTCTTTGCATGCGGGTCTAAAAGTTGAATTATGAAGAAAGAATAAGAAAGAGAGAGCGAGAGAGAGAGAGAGAGAGAGAGAGAGAGAGAGAGAGAGAGAGAAAAATAG